TGGTCCAAAAGGACTTTCCGTCCTCTCCAAAGTTTGGAGCTAAAAAGCTTGGATGAGGAAATGGAAGAATGCTTGGACTTTGCCACATACTGACCAGAGCAAGGCAAAATGTGTTCTCTGATTCTTGGGTTACCTGTTGAGAGTAGGGGATCCCTCCTCCTCACTTTAATGCTGCAAAGTTTGTCCTGGAGCCAGGGTCTTTCATCAGAGGAATTATGTTAAATAGGAATATGCAAAGTCGATTTCTCTATTACTCATGTCGCCTCTGCAGTGCCTCAGGCTCTTATTTTCACTCAGTTTCCTTTTTGTAGTCATATGTAAATATGGAGAACTCTCAGCATGTTTTTCCTGAGTTTTAGGGATATGAGAGGCACTTTTAGACTGGCATTTTTGTACCTCATCACACAGGACATGTGGTTAGTGATACCTCAGCCAGCAGAATTCTGATGTGTCACCCTTGCATGGTGCATGAACCTGAGAGTCACACTGGAAATGTCCTCAAAGAGGAAAAAAGAGGAAGACAGGAGCTCCAGAACACTGGAGGATATCATGCAAGATCCCAATTTAGCTTGCTGTTTAGATGCAAGGATAGAGCTTGCTCGTTCTGTGACTATTGCAGAATAAGACAATAATGACATTTTTGGCATTGTAGTTGGATCCATGAGGAACAACTCCCTGAGATATCCCTTTCCCTGACAGAACCAAAAATACACAGTACTTCTTCAAAACATGTAAATTCAGCTGCTGGATGATACACATTTTTAAGCCAAAAAGAACTCAAGACACTCAGCCTACATGAGCTCAATGGGACAAGAGACGCAGCTTTAATAGAGCCACAAAGCCCAGGTTAATCAGTCAGGCAATTTTGAATTAGAAAATTAAAGCTTCAAAGCTTAAAGATCAAATGAACAAACAAAACCAACAATCCCTTTAGAGAAAAAAAAAATGGAAAGAAATACACCAGATTTTTATTTTTTTTTCCATTTTGGTGTATGTGTTTTAACAATATTAGGTGTCCACAAGACAATATGAAATAAAAAATTTACACTCATTTAGGCTCAGCAAGGCATTTATCAGGAACTAGGAATTTTGGGTATAAACTCTTTGCCCACAAGAAATAGTGGGGTAGAAGTTTCTGTGCTTTCACTGATAACAAGTAAGACCAAACTCAATTCTTGGGTTTCCAGTTCTTGACAGAAGTGTATTAAGTATGCTTGTGGCCTTGAAGGAGCTACTTTAGCAGATGTTTTGGTTTTATATGCTAGGGTTGTTCAGCACCGAAGATTTAACATGACATCACCTTTAACAACATGTAGCTATACTTAAGGAAAGAAAAACTGACATCAGTGAGCACTACTTTGTGCTTTCAGTTTCTGACTACAGCAAAATGTTTTGTTTAAACTCTGTTAGTGAATTTGGGAAAATAAATACAGCACATTCTATTATAGGGAAATTAATTTTCTTAGGATATAAAAGAATTATATTAGTATTGTGATGCTTTCCAAAGGCACAGTGACGACAAGGGTCTGGCTGTGCCTGTTTTCACACACAAAAATTTGTTCCAGACAGTTTACCGTTTGAACCTTCAATTTTTGCAAGTGGCACCATTCACATATTTAAATGCACAAAAGAACCTTTCAACACCAAATCTATTCAATTATATTTTAATGTTTAATTAAGTATCATAGTAGGTAAGGACACAATTACAAAGCTAAATAGATGCACAAGCATCAATCTTTTTAACCCCAAACGGGGTTTGGGAGGATATGTCCTTTGTTGGCCAGTCAAGATTCAACAGGATCAGTATCCATCCCCCTTTATTTCTACTACTTCACAGCTCCTTGTAAGGGTTTTTGTACAGCAGCATGCATGGATGGGAAACACCATCATCCAAACCAAAATGCATTTATACAAAATTTGGCCCTTTGAATGGGCTGGTTAACAGAAGGTGGCCAAGCTTTTGGAATTAAATAAATAAGTTCTTTAATAATGACTTTGCTCCCAACTCTGTAGTAACTGTCCAAACAAGCTAACTACAATGTATATGACACAGAGGCTTCCCTGCTGTTCAGAACAAAACCAAGCTAGGAAAGTTGGAATCATGTTCGTAAACTGAACAAGCATTTGACACTGACAATCATGTACAATTTTATTATTTTAAACAGGTTGAAAACATTAAATGATAAAAGTGGTATTTATGTGAGGATTTTTTCTGTATGTCTAAAAACCTTTTTGGAACAATCAACACTTCCATTCCTTTAACTAAGGTAGTTAAACAATGGTAATTAAAACAAGAGACTTAGTGTCAGATGCTGGACTATGTTTATTTTCTTACTTCTCATCTGGTGTTTGTGACAGCAATAATCACACTCCATTTCAGGATGCATTGTAAACCTCTCCAGATGAAGCCTGACAAGCTGTTTGGTGACAGCCACCCTTGGTGTGATTGAGATGTCTGTATGCCAAACATTAAGCTACTTAGCTCATAAGCCAAAGCTTTTCCAGCCCCAAAGCCACAAATCCTTATCACTTTGCTTCACACTCTTTCTTCCTTATTGTTTCCAACAGTGGTGAAAACAGTAAGTTACAGCTGAGACCTTGTGTGGATTTTTGAGGGGCCATTCATCACCTCGTTCCAGATTATAACATGAAGTCTTAATCACCATTTCCAAAAGCACTGAAGCAAAGCAGTAAATTCATTCTGGATGAGTTGGATTTTTCTGACTGCAAGTAGAGTGTGTGAGCACACCTGTGGGCATGTCAGTCCTCAGTTCTCACTTCTTCCTTCCTGAGTATGACTTAAATAGGAAATTCTGCTGTAGTACAAAATAGCCTTCTGTGAAGCCAGAATAATTACATGCTCCTGTGCTATTACAAAAGTTCAAGCAATCCTGTTGACCATCACAAATGCAACAGGTTCAGTATATTTGGAAGGGGTAATCTGCCACTGCCATGGAGTAATCAGTTTATAGTTAGCAGATGCTGATGGCACTTTTTAGCATTCCTCCTCTTCAAAGCAAAATAAAACATAATTCTGTGTATTAACTCCATAAAGACACAGTGGGAGACCTGCAGTTACCTCTGTGGGATACTTACAATTCCACTTTGTCACTTTCCAAGAGATTTTCTTCAGTTACAGATGTTTACAAGGTCAGACTGAAATACATTGATCAACTTTCCATTCTATAGGCAAGGAGGTTGTGTAAGCCAGGCCTAGATTTGTTGGGGTAACACAGCGACAGAAGTTGTGGCAAAAGATATAAAGTCTTGACAACTTCCTAAAGCTGGAAATAATTGGGCTGTTAAGGGATGGCAACCCAAAACAACACCTTTGATTTTTGGAATGCAATTCTTTATCTGGGGCATCTTCCCAGCCAAAAGGATAAATAATTATAGCTTCTTTGGGCAAACTTAAATCACTGGAGTATTTTTAAAAATGACTGCATCTCACCTGAAATAATCAACCGTGAGGTTTAAAATCAACCACTCAATTTTCTTCCTTATGTTTTGAATTTTTAGTCTCCGTAAGGACTTAATAATTACTTTTATGAGACAGAATACACCTGAAGAGGTTTGGAAATATGTTACACTGATCTGCCATGATGTCTTCTGTGAGGATGAGAAAAAGACATAATCCTTATTTTATTTGGTTATTTTTTCTTTTCAGAACCTTTCCCCATAAAACTGGATAAGAGGGATAACAAAATTGGGATCTAGGTCAATCTGGAATGTCTCAGATTGGTATAAATCTCCTTGGGATAAACTGACAAAGAAAAAACCCAGCATAATGAGAAGGTGAAGGCCAAAGTAGAGGAGCAGGATCCTCTGTTTTTCCAAATAGCTTTTTCCTTTGACTTGCGTTTTTGTTTTTCCTGAAGACTCTGGTATCCTCTAAGCATTTCAGCTCAGGAAGGAATTATTAAGAAGCAATTTCCTAGACTGGATAAGAATTAGACTAATTACTGAAGTGAAACAATTAAGCCACAGTATTACAATTTAGACATTACCTTACAGACATAATGGCTGTGTAAGCTGTGGGATAGATATCCCGCTCTGAAGACTGGGAAAAAAACTCAAAAAAAGCTAGAAAAAGGTAAGAATTCTCCTTCAACTTGTGCCTGGTAGGTTCAGTGTCAGGTTTCCTGTGCATAGAGAAATAAAATTAAATACCCCGCATACAAAGGATTGTTACAAGTACATGTCAACAATTAAAGATTACATTCTTCTGCTAAGATCACAAAACCCTTTCAGATTCTGTAGGAAAGTCAAAGATATTTGGTTAATTCTTCCCTTTTTTAGACTCTTATATTCCTTACAAATTCCTTAACTGGTGTTAACTTTTTTCTCCCCCTTCCTCCTATTTCAAATAAGGGCTACTACCACTGCCCTTTTGAAGTGAAGAGCAGTCCCCGGTGTATTTTGAGCACTTGCTGCCTGTCCCTGCTCCACCCCGGCGGTAAAACCCGCCTTGGCACACACGCTTTGCCCTTGAGGTGCCCAATGACACCCAGCGCCTCCCGTCCGCCTCAACGCCCCCGGCTGCGGGCCGGGCCGCGCTGCTCCCGCCCGCCCTCACCCTCACCCTCACCTGCGCCGTCCGCTCCCTCACTGCCGGGCTTCAAAGGGCGCGCACCTGTCTGAGGCGGCTCCCAGCGCCTCGCTGCCCCGCCCGCGCTCCGAGCCGGGCTGGCAGTCCCTCCCCAGCACGGGCTCTGTGTCCCGGCCCTGCGAACCCGGCCCCGGGTCCCGATCCCGGCCCCGCGTCCCGCTCCCGGCCCCGTTCGAACGGCCGCCGCCAGCCCGCGCCTGCGCACTGCCCGCCCCGCCGGAGCCCAGGGCGAGGCGAGGCAGCTCGGAGAGACCAGGGAACTACGCGCCCCGTCATGCCCCACGCGGCCAGCTCCCCACGGCCGGAGCGAGCGGGCCGCTCGCAGGGCACGCCGGGAGCTGTAGTCCTCCGGCGCGGGGTATTGTCTCTCCCCTTTCTCTGTCCGGGAACCCGACCGCCACCCCGCCGGGCGAGCGCGGTGACTGACAGCGCCGGGCAGCCAGTCGCCGCAGCGCCGTGCGGCCGAGCCCGGCGCCGTCTCCCCGGTGACCGGGACAGCCGCTGCCTCGGCGGAGTCGCCGGAGTCCCGGGGGACAGAGGTGAGTGGGTCCGAGCGGGGCAGCGCCCACCGCAGCCCGCCCAGCTCTCCCATCCCCCTCGCCACCGAGCGCCCTGCCCGGGACCCCGCTGGGATGCGGCGGGAGGAGCGGGGACGGCAGATGGACGGCGGGAGGGGGGATGAGGGGGGAGGGGAGCGCGGCGGCGGGGGCCGAGGGCAGAGGGGCCAGACGGGAGCCGCTGGCTGCCCCTGTGCGCGCCCCTCGGCTGCGGCGCTGCCGCGACCCCCGGCGCGCAGCGCGGACGGGGCGGGGGCTCCGCCCGCGGGGGGGTCCCGGGCGCTCCGTGCCCTCCCGTCTTTTACCGCTTGATTTTTCAAATCGTCCCTGCGGGCTCAGGTGCCGCTTCTCCCCTCCCCGCAGCTCCACCCCGCGGGCAGCGGCTGCCCCGGGGGCCGGGCAGTTAATGGGTGACCCCGCGGGGCGCTGCTCCAGCCCCGCACCCGCCGCCCGCTCCGCCGCCCCCCAGAGTCACCCTCGGTGCCCGCGGGATGTCCCCGCAGCCGCCGAGGGCAGCGCCGGGAGCCTCCCCGGGAGCGGGGCGAGCGGGTGTGCAGAGCTGCAGCGAGCCCGCCGTGCGCTGCCCCGCGGATCCCCCGAGCCCTCCCGGCTGTCCCGGAGCCCATCCCGCCCGGTGTCGCTGCTGCCGCCCCAAGTGCCGCCCCTCTGTGCGGCGTCCCAGCAGTTCTGGAACGAATTTGCAAGAAAAGAAGGGGGGGTGGGGGGAATGCCTAACTGCGAACAAAACCTTTCCACCTTCTGAAATACAGCAAATAAATTAGTCGGAATTATGGGTGCATGACTGTCTGTACGATAGCTTTAGAAAACTCTGTCCTTACTCACATGCCTTGTCAGACAAAACGGCAAATGCCCTGTCTCTGTTCTTTACATTTCATACACTGTCTTCAGTGGGAGAAGAGTTTTTATGAATAACTACTTTTTAGCTCGCTGTTGCTGATTACAGTCAGTATTTTTTGAATGATCACATTAGCTACACCTAAAGGAAACATAATGGCCTGTCTTGCCAATTGTGAAATGCTGATGAGATTTTTTTATTAAAACGTTGTCCTGCCCAAGTCCTCAAACAACTGGTAGCTATCTTCTACAGGTTGAGCTGTTACATTTCTTGTGTAACTTGTCTATAAACATGTACCACATTTGAATAGTTAGTGGAATTCAAATGTTACAGCTTCTTTTGAGCTTTGTAGAGACTTGGCATCAGTTCTACCTCAACAACTGGCACCCCTGCTGAAGAGTCTTTTGCATTCCTTCAAGACCTGTGTGAGGGATAAAGGAACAGTCTCTGTGCACTTCCACTTTGCATACTTTATTGTCTTACAGTACTACTACTGAAAAACAAAATAAAGCCAGACAGAATGAAGCCAGACAGTGTCTCTGCACATCAACATGGATCCTGTAATGCTGAGTACCAGCTCATTTCCAGAGGCTTTTTGGGAGGTAGTGGTGGTCAGTCCTGTGCTCCTGATCTTCAGGGGCTCTCTCGCTGCCCTCTGGAGCTGCTCAGTTACACTTTAACATGGACTGTAGCAGGAGCGTGCCTCCTGTTTCTGTTCTCTTTGTTGCTATGAGATAACAAGAGCAGAAGCAGGAAACAAACCACCTTTCTCCCTTGAAAGTAAGCAAATACATGTTATTTTCTTTAGAGCAAAGGGTTTGAAAATGACATAAGAAGCTAGCATGGACATGTAAAAGCATACAGAAATGCAGTGTTTGTGGGATACAGTACATTTCAACTGTAACTGGTATTTTTTGTGCTTTGTACCCTACAAATAATTGATTCAAATGGTAGACCAGAATGTATGCTGGCAGAAATCTTGTATGTTTTGTTTTGTTTTGCAGTTTTGTGTCAAAGCTGATGTATTGACAAATTATGTTATTTCATACTTGAACAACTCTTAATGTGTACCTGTTAGTGGTTTTGCCTGAAATGTTCTGTGAAATATTTTGTAGTTATAAAGCTACAAAGCTTTATACCAGTGAAAGTGAATTGGTGTTTTTGTTTCACTGGATAAACTACATGTTTTATAATTTAATACAGGAAAACAATGTTCAGACATTATTACTTTGGAACTGTGGAAGTTTGTACCATTTCTGTGCCATATCTCTTCAGCTCCAGGTTTCAAGTCTGCAAAGAAATTAGGAGAAAAGCTAGCAATTAGATAACTTGATAATTTAGTTTTGAACTAGTCTGTTAACAGTTTGACAATCAACTAATCTCTGCTTAGGGGAAACACTATTTTCATAATTTTTCTATTGGCCTGTCATGCCATTATTGCAGTAAAACATACTTGAATGCTGAGGGTTCTCGCAGAAGAGAAATATTTGGCTTTTGTCTTGAAGTTTCCTAGGTAAATTTAATGAGCTGTTGTTTGTCCTGGGTGTAATTAGCATAAAATTTGTGCAGTAATATTCAGGTACTGAGGGAGGGAAGAGGTGATATAATGAAGTAATAAATTTTTTCTTTGGTTGGTATTTTTTGTTTTGGTTTTTTTTAGTGTATAGACACATTAATAACAAAAACCCTTTGATATTGAATTAGTTCCTTACTTTACACGCACAAAATTTCACAAATATATATAACTGAAATATATTACTATAGTATGTATATAAGATAATATATCAATATAGCTGAAAGTATTCACACCTCTGGAACATCATTCTTAGAGGAAAGTAACGTGTTAACAGTCTGCTGTTTTGTTTTTATAATCATCAGGTTTTTGAATAACATTTCATTGTCAGTGGTTCTCATCTACAATAAATGCTTGATGTGTAAGGGTCATAGGTTAGAAAAGCAAGTAGGTAAATTCACTTGTGAACAGAGTTAAAAGGAAAACCTCTCTTAGCAAATACAGAATTGTGACGTAAGAAAACACTGGAGTTTTTTTCTTCCCACGAGCAGCCTAACTACATTTTCACTGTGTGTTTTTTATAATGACATTTAGGATATTTTTTATAGATTAGACAGGTAGCTGTAAAACATCTGTTTTTCTTATCAGCTACTTCAACATTAAAATATTGAATCTTAAGTTTTTTTTTAGTAAACACTGTTTTTTATTATATTTTTAAAAGGAGATTATTTATAATCTCATACTCTCTTAATTGTTTCCTTTCCTCTTGCAAGCTAGTAGCACAGTTTTAGGTGCCAGATACTGTTGGGCTTTATGGTAACCAGGTTAACAGCACAGATTCAGAGGGTACCCAGGGGTCACGTTAGGCTATTCTCCAGACAGCTGAAAACAGAAATATTCACAATAAGGCAAATTAGATCATGTATATATTCAAGCTCCTAGATAGAAGGTTTTTATTTACTGTTGGGCATTTGTTAGCTCTATTTTTTTTTTTTTTGGAGGAGTATATATTGAAATATTTAATGATTTTTCTCAAAAAGTACTAGACCTAATTAGAGATAGCTGAATGCACAGTGACCTCTTGATTCCCAAGTTTAGCTCCATCTGTAAAGAGTCAAACAACATTTAAGATATGAGACAGGATGCCAGTTGATGGGGCTTTCTTACAGCAATGTAAGGGTTAAGTTTGGTTAAATGTTTGCAAAGCATGTTATCATTTCCATTTAAAGGTTAAGTGTGAAGTTTCACTACTTCTTAACATCAAGGTTTTTTTTTTTTTGTCTCAAATTATAGGAAAAGTATCGTTAATGAAGCTGGATCATTGCTACCTTAAAACAATTTGCTAAAACCATACTACACTGAATAGTCACAGCTGCACTGAGACATAAAATCTGATGTTCCCTTGTTTAAAAAAAAAACAAAAACAACCAACCCAAAGAAACTAAACGCCAAGAAGTAAAGCCAACTGGATATCTTTTGGTATCTTGAAATCTGTCCTATTTTGGGTTTGGAAGGATCCTGTGGGAATTACATCCTTCAGTTGAGTATCTAGCAGAATATTTGGTTTCTTAAATTTGGTGGCAGTGGTTTCTTAAATTTGGTAAACAAGGAGCGCGTTAGTTTTGGTTTGGCTTTTAATTGGTAAAACTTTTCAAGTAATTGCCTTGTTTGTTCTAAGCCAGGCAGAAATACTGTGAAAGTAGTGTGCTGTGGATTTAATCACAGTCTCTGTGTGTTTTGTGTTATTTGTGTAGCTGAGAGCAATGTCAGTAGGATTTCTTGGTCATTTTTAGTCCATGCAGATATTGGGTGGGGCACCACTAATTTAGCACTTTAGATATGATAAAGAAATGCGTTATCTCTGTGTGTATGTGTATTTATATGTGAATGCATTTATATAAAATGTTGCCTGCATATTGCCCACATGTGCAAGATACTTGCTTTCCATGTACCTTATACACTTTATGTTACAATGTGACTGAGTTAAGAATAAATCTGTGGACCGCCTCAGAGAAATTATTGTCATATTAGTTCTCACTTGCTCAGATGGAGTTTATTGCAGTTTTATATAGCTGTAGTCCCATGGGTTTTTCTGTCAGTCATCCTCCAGACCTATGGAAGTGAGGGTTCATATAGTGCAACAAGGGCATAGGTTCAAAAGTTGAACAAATTGTAATTTGTTTTATTTATATTAGTCATTTTAATACATTTTAACCTGCTTAGTGGGGGAAACCTCTCTAAAACAATGGAATTTGCCCAAGTATATTTAGAACAAGACATCCAGACTTCAGTGCTGACACCAAAATGTAGTGAAATATTCTACTTCTTGCTGTTCATTCAAAGCTGTTATATGTTAATTGTAAAGTCATGTCTAGATACTGGCAGCATGTGTCTTTTTCACTCCTTTTTTTTCCTTTTTTTTTTTTTTTTTTTTTTTGAATGTTTAAGCTAAACTAAAACACATGGATGTTGGAATGATGGTCTGAAATGGATTTTTACAGTGTTTGCTATCTGAGAAATTGTTTTGAGTAGATTAATTGATGGGTGTAACAGTAAATCTGATCTTGGATCCCTTTGGTCTGATACATGACTGAATGCCCGCTTTTCATTGCATATGTGAATGAAATGTATGTAAGGAAGTTGAAGTGAGATACTTACTTTAAGCTGCTTTTACAGTCAGTGGAGAGATATGGGCAACTCAAGGGGTAATTAATCTCTTTTACATGATACATGTGGTACCTGTTTCTGTACACTGAGTGTAAAGGGGGTGAGGTATAGCTGAGTAGATGAGTATGAGCTCTCATTTTTGTTTTGCTGGGAAAGGATGTATGAGCTTAAACAAGGATCTCCTCTATGCAGTGGTAGTATAATGGTGTAGTAAGGCAGAAGGTGACTGAATAGTAGGCAATGTGGGAGAGTTGGGGAAGACATAACATGCTTAGTTTAAAAAACACTGACCCTACATCAAAAGACTTGGATACTGTTCTTTGCTATTCTGTCATGTTATCATTTTGGACAGCGACTTTATTTGCATTTGCAACTCCTTTCTTATCACTAAAATTAACACTGTGGTACCTGCTCTTTTCAAACTGTTCTGAGTATTTCATTAATTCTCTGGCAATAGTTTTTGGTAGAGCTCACCAGCAATTTTTTCTCAACAGTAAAAGGAATACTGGGTGCTAAAAAACCTGAAATATGATGAGAATTAAAATGTCTTTTCTTTCTTTTTTTTTAGAACTTCATCAGATGGAGTGATGCTCTTGAAACATGACAAAAAGCTGGACTGAATAGAAGTTTTCCTATTTAAGGAAAAAAAAATTGAAAATGTACAGACCAGGAGAAACGGTCAAACGTCGACTCAACACGCATGCTCCTCCACGGATAAGAAGCGTGGAAGTTGCTCGAGGAAGGGCAGGTTATGGGTTTACCCTTTCTGGACAAGCTCCTTGTGTTCTTAGTTGTGTGATGAAAGGAAGCCCTGCAGATTATGTTGGACTTAAAGCAGGAGATCAGATATTTGCAGTTAATGAAATCAATGTGAAAAAAGCATCGCATGAAGATGTAGTGAAACTTATAGGGAAATGTTCTGGAGTCCTGCACATGGTCATTGCTGAAGGGATTAGTCATATGGATTCATGTTCAAGCGATGAAGAAGTTGGTTTTTATGATGGGAAGGGGTGGCTGAAACCCAAACCTGACTCTAAAGCTCTGGGTATAAACAGAGCAGAGAAAGTTGTTGAAGAAATGCAGTCTGGTGGCATTTTCAACATGATATTTGAGAATCCCGCTCTTTGTGCTGGTAACTCAGATAATTCTGCACCAAAACAAAGATCATTTTCAGTTTCTGCTGCTATGAAATTTGAAACTGGCAATGAAAGTGTAAGCAATCCAAACCTACTGTCAAAGGAAGAAATAGCCAAAGTTCTGAATGATGATTCAGTTTTTAGAACTGGACTGGAAAGTGCAGAAGACTTTGGGTTAGATGCAAGCATTTTGAATGTTGCCATGATTGTAGGTTACTTAGGCTCCATTGAACTTCCTTCAACAACTGCAAATTTGGAAACAGAGAGTTTGCAGGCCATTCGTGGCTGCATGAGACGTCTGCGGGCAGAGCAAAAAATCCATTCCCTGGTGATGATGAAGATAATGCACGACTGTATTCAGCTCTGCAGTGACAAATCAGGTGTTGTGGCAGAATATCCTGCAGAGAAACTGGCATTCAGTGCTGTTTGTCCAGATGATAGAAGATTCTTTGGTTTAGTTACAATGCAGACAAATGATGATGCAAGCTTGGCTCAGGAAGATGAAGGGGTCCTGAGGACATCTTGCCACGTTTTTATGGTGGATCCTGAATTATTTCATCATAAAATTCATCAGGGTATAGCAAGACGTTTTGGACTGGAATGTACAGCAGATCCAGATACAAATGGCTGCCTGGAGTTTCCAACATCATCTCTACCTGTCCTGCAGTTTATTTCTGTCCTGTATAGGGATATGGGGGAACTGATTGAGGGGATGCGTGCCAGGGCTTTCCTTGATGGCGATGCAGATGCTCATCAGAATAATAGTACAAGCAGCAACAGCGATAGTGGAATTGGAAATTTCAACCAAGAAGAAAAGAATAATAGAGTTCTGGTGGTTGATTTAGGGACCCCTCCAAGTAAGCACATTCCTAGCAGCATATGGGAAAATCCAGTAGGAAGGGGACAAAATCAGCCTGCTTCCCATTGGAATGGCTTCTGTCATGAGCATGAAGGAAACATACCTTTAGAAGTAATTCAGAATGATAAGTCCCAAAATGTAAGCAAACACTTGAGCCCTTCTGCTCGTATTGAAGTTCCATTGGTTTCCTCCCGAAATTCAGTACCCCCATCCAAGAAAAACGCTGCAGGCCTGGGCAATCAGAGGTGGCTGCCTGTGCACGTTCTACAGGAGTGGCAGCATGGAAATGCCAGCGACCAGGAGTCGTACACCGACTCCACAGATGGCTGGTCCAGTGTGAACTGTGGGACCCTTCCCCCACCAATGAGTAAGATTCCAGCTGACAGATACAGAGTCGATGGCAGCTTTGGTCAGCCACAGCTAAAATCTCACAAAAGTGAATGGTCCAAGAAGATGTTCTGCATTCAGAACAAATTTGGCCCTCCGCACAGTATCAGGAAATCAAAAGAAGATAAAAAGGTAAGAACATGCTGGGGTTGGTTCTTAAAACCCCCCCACCCAAACCCGTCTGCCTATGGTACTTTTACACAGTAATAGTTGCATATTAAAATTTAAAGATGTATTATATAATTTGCAAAATTTCAGATGAAAAAAATGATACATTCTGCTCTCATCTGCAGAGGCGTTTCATATTCCTCTTTAATTGAGTGCAGCTCTGGAATTGTACTTCTGCTGGAAGTGTTGTCTGTCAGGGCTTTCTCACTTTTCTTTTTGTCTCTTCATTGTTTCCAAATGTTTAAGTGGTACTGAAATGAAAAGAAGGCATGACATTTTAGCAACTTCAGTTTCTTCTGCCCTTCAGCTGCAAAAGAATGGAAACAATCTGCATCTTTAGTCTCCATCCTTTTTGTAGAAGGCTGGCTTGCAAATGCTATTATTTTAATAGAAACATATTTTTATAGAAACGTAGTCTAATGATCATCAAAAACCTTGATTATACACTTTTAAGGGAATAAGACTGTTTTATTACAAACTTCACTCCAGCAAACCTCTCAATACAAGTAGCATTAAAAACTGACATAAAAAACTGGTAGTGGTAGGTCACAAAGCTAACATTCTGCCAGCAAGCCTGTAATCAAATTCTATTCCAAATTAGTTTCTTCTTGTTTTGTCTACTATTAAACAAAATGAGGAGACTTAAAAAACAAAAAAAAAGGTGTGGGAAGAGTATTCAGGGTGATTACATACCCTTTGTAACACACACTTTTGCTGTTGATGGAACTAATCTCAGGGGAGTCTGTTGTTGATAACTGGAATTCTAGTAAAGTGGAGGCCATTGTTCTGATACTGAAAGGATCACTAGCAGTTTTGTATCTGAAATGTTTGCCGACTCCAGAGAAAGACAGAATCTTATACTCTTAGCCTTCAGGAAGCTTTGTCATTCCATGCTTTTATATTAGTGTTCACCTTAACCATACGCTAGTGTATAATTATTATGTATGCTAGTTTGTTTGTTTTTATTTTCAGCAAAAAAAGCATAAAAAATACTGTACGTGAAAGTTTTGTGTATTACTTGTATGATTGTTTCAGTTGTCCATCATGCTATCCAAATCTGTTTTGAAAAAAATGTGTTTTTTTCTCATCTGATTAAAAATTCACTACTGCTGATCAAGTGAATGACAGTAGAGGTTAATTAGTGTTTCATACTGTTAGAAACAAAACCTTTTTAGGGATTAGGTTGCAGAACTTCAGAACATTTTGGGTTTGGTTTGGAAAGAGAAAATATTTTTTATTTCTTTTCCTGCACTGTAAAGCAAGCAATTTTAGTGTACGTTCTATTGTATGCCTTTTGTGCTGAAAATAAAAAGAAATAAACTAGTATGTACAATAGTAATACACTAGTGTATTGTTAAGGCGAACACTGCTACAGGCAGCAATGTTTTCCAGACTCACAATAAAATTAAATTTCAAGTGTTCTTAAATACAAGGTGATTCATACTTTCAAAAGCCAAACAGAAAACACTAAATTTGTAAACACTGCCCACCCAAATCACTTAAGACTCAATTCTATGTGCTGCCCTGAAGTCTTTGCTGATGGACCAAGGAAAAAGCCTCTTTATATGCAGCACCCGGTGCAGGTGCATGGTGGATGTTGGTCCCAAGTGCTGCACTGGATGCTGCTGAAATTCCTTTGGGGTCCGTGTAATAAGTTTGTGTTTGCAGTGTTGTCCATGACAGTAATATGGATTAGATATTTTTCAGAAACACTTATTTAATGGAAGTCATGATTATACTAACTAAAATATCATTGAAAATTTTATGCTTTGAGATCAAAGATGCTCTACATGTGGCTAAAGAGTAATAATATTTCACTTACTCTATCACACAGATCAGCATAAACCAACACTAAGTATCTAAATATTCCCTTTCAAGTCTGTCTGATAATAAAATAGGCATTCTTTCTTTGATTATTGACAAATTTGTTTGCAAGACACATTTAAAATGTTCCTACATGGCTTTAGCATTTAACTCTTCATTAAGGCTACAGACCCTCTTTTTCATTTTAATTTCATTTTTCAGTATTATTGAAGGCTGTTGAAACTGATGAGAAAAACTCATAAAGATTATTAGGAGTAATTCACAGAGATGAAGTTGTACAATGTTCTCATCTTAAACCTTTCATGTAAATAATCAGGGGATGTTATTACTGATGATCATACCTCTGTGCTGCAGAAATAGGGAAAATCTGTATTTGCATCTTAGAGCCCTTGTTCATTTTCATAAGAGATAAATTCAGACTTTATTATTTTGTGTGAAGGGATGAGGTAAAACTTCCCATTCCAAACCATTGTTCAGGTGGGTTAGCTCCTGTGTTCTAGAAAATTACATGCTCTCAGCTTCCTGTGACCTTTTTAAGTGGTGAGGATTTATTTTACACAGCTTGCTCAGACTCATTCCAGTCACAGAATAAAGTGTATAAAGTGGCCACATAGGATTGCATTCATATTCTTACAACCTGGTTGCTGAGTCTAAGTCTTCATTTGGCAGAACAGCACTTAAATGGCTCTTGTCTTTTACATCAATACCAAAGGTAAAACATCCTATGAGTGGGAATGTAGAAGCCACTAGAGGGAGAAAAGGTTACCAAAGCTGGAGATTCTTGTGATGGATTTTGTAATTCCATATAAAACTTGTCTTCCTTGGAATTTTCATCACACATGAGTTCCTGGATGCAATTCTGCTCTAGCAGAGCTGCTATGCAGATAAACTGTGATGATCACAGCATGTAATTCTGAAAAATATGCTGTACTGTACAATACTAGTGGGGGGTAAGATGGGCATAAACTGCTTCCAGATTTTATAGCTGCACTAACAAAACATTTGTGAATTGTACAGCACACAAGAGCAGATGTGAGAAAGTGTAAGTGAACAAATCTATTTAAAATTGCACTTTCAGGACTGAGCCTGGGAAGTGCTTCTTGTGAGTAGGAATAGATATGGCATTTCAGACCTCCAGTTACAAGCAAGTAATCACATTTTTTGAGCTTTCTTTTCCCTTTAATGATGATTTTTTTCAGCTCACAGACTAGAATTGTGATTAATTCTCTGATAATTGGCAAACCCACTTTTAAAATATTAATTTTCTTTATGCTGCTATAAGGCATTTAAAAATTCAATATAAGTGTGAATCGTGAAAAATAGTTAAAAATGCCTAATTTTTTTGTTAGTGGATAGCATGAGGTTTCTTGTTTTCTTTAAAATGTTCTAATTATGAATTATCCCCAAATTACTGAACACATACTTTCACAATTGCTACATATTTCATTCTTTTCTAAAACCTTTTAAAAAGGTTTCTGTGCATGGCAAAAGGAGAACTAAACCAGGAAGATTTTGGTTCTAGTCCGCCTCTTTTGACTGAGACCTACCAGAAGACATCTCTGGCCCTGTGCATCTCTCACATTGTTTCCTGTACTGAACTTCACATTTCTGGTGTTTCTTAGAAGTGTCACATGAACAGATTTCTATTGAATAAAGGAGACAATGAGAATTTCTATTGAAGAAAGGAGACAATTAATATTCTAATGAGAATTTTTTGGTGGCATCCATGTCTTCTGTAGGTCTCAGATGAAAACAAGCAGGGAGAGGCCTGATGATGTTGCTGAAGTTTACTGAAAAGGCAGATCATGGAGGGCAAGGTGTCTTTTAATGTGAGAACAACTGAGGAAGATTTCTGATGACAATGAGCTTCTAAATTGCTCTGAGATTGATGCTGGGTAGGGGTCAGGTGTGCTCTTGAGAGGTTTGTGAGACCCACATGAGGAGTCTGATTGTGGTTTCAGTGGGAACGGAATAATTCCTGCTTTTTTTTGTTTGTAATTCCAGTTGCACTGTCCTGCCTTTGCTGTTGCATTGCTCTTCCCACCTCCTTTAGCATCCCACTAAGTTTCAGTCACTTACCTACTCGCTCCTGTGCATGATTTTTGGGTGACGCAAATTAAAAGCACCATAAGCAATATGAAAACATCAGGGGATGTTAGAATTGGCAAGAGACTTGAGAAATTGCTGAACAGGGAAGCATTCCTTTCCCTCTAGACTAAATTAATATAAATATGTTTGATTTTGTTCAACCCTCACTCTCTGTTTTCAGGCTAGTGCCTGGCCAAAAATATGTCTAGTCATTACTGTTTTAAATTAAGTTTTACTGGGAAAATACTCCCTTTTCCACTGGAAAGCTTCATAACAGTCAGTTTAGTCTTTGAATTCTCTCTCCATAAGGACAGAATCTTAGGCATTGACCTCTCACCATTCTCTTTTTTTAAAAAGAAGGTCTGTTTTAATAGTGTGGCAGTGAGCATAACATTGAAGATCAAAAGAGGTTTTACAGCCTGAGCCTGATAACTAACTCTTGGGTCCTAGGTTTATTCCAAGTGAAGATGACAAAACTGTTGAAATGTAATTAAAAAGTTTTTAAAAATGTTGGGTATTGGCTTTCAGAAATCCTTTACTGTTTCACACTTGTTATACTTCTCTCTTGATCACATTATTGTTTGTGCTGATGAAAAGTGTGACTTTGTAGTTGGATCCTATTTATAGATCTTAGAAGACAAAATAGAAAATTCTTAATTCTTGAGACTCACTGGACAACAGTATTGCAAATGTGTATTCTTTTTTAACAATAAAATAAATCAACTGCTTGGTAGCCTTCATAATTTCAGCTCCTGAAAATATTGTAAAAATGTAGAAGAGAGAAGACAGGCAAGCAGTACTAAGGGGTTCACTAAGGCATCTTTCCCTGCTAACCTAGTTCCTGGAAAACAATTTTTATTCCTCTGTTTTGTTCAGAAGTTTAACTGTAACTACTTTAGAGTTGTCTTTATTTCCAAAGCAAGTGTTACTGAAAAAGATATGCTGTCCAATTTAAAAATTATTTTTTTTTTTTTTTTTTTTTTGGCAGTGAAAATCTGTAATTTGCTTCAGATCCAAGGATTGCAGTTTTTACTGTTGGTAACTGGATGGTG